GTTGCAGGCGGTGTGCCGGCATGAAATACAGTCCCTGTCTTCTGAGCATGCCAAACTTTTTAGAGGCCAATTTGGCCTTCTCTTCCAAGTGACCACGAAACTGCGCGTCACTCGATATGTCGACACCGAGGATTCTGATACTGGCTGAGGCAACAAGGGGAGTGCCTTGAAACTGAGGAGATACGACAAAGGGGTTCTTTTTAGCGGTTAACGCGCAAACTTGTCTCTTCTGGGGGTTAAACTGGACTAGATTTAGTCGCCCCCAATCCGAGACTCTGTTCAGCAAAGACTCGACTTGAGACACAAGGTGGTTCTGGCACTCGGATACGTTGTCCCTAAGAAATATTGGCTCGGCCGGTGTAAAGAGCATTAACAGTACTGTCATCTACATAGCAATGAATGTTACGTGTTTGCAACATATCATTGATATGCAGAACAAACAACGTTGGCGATAGCACGCAGCCTTGTGGAACACCAGCATTAATAGTCTTGCAATCGGAGCTTGCACCGTCTACAACGACCTTGATTCTCCGATCTGCAAGAAAGCTGGTGATCCAATCGCACAATTTCTCGGGAAGCCCATAGGAAGGGAGCTTCGAAAGAAGCGCTTTGTGCCAAACCAGATCGAAGGCCTTCGCAATGTCCAAACTAACGGCCAATGCCTCCCCCTTGGACTCTACTGCCTCCGCCCATCTGTGAGTTAGGTAGACCAGAAGATCACCAGCTGACCGACCACGGCGAAAACCATATTGGCGGTCACTAATCAGCTGGTGATCCTCAAGGTACAAGGTACTTCATGAGCTGGCAGTTTATAATGGACTCCATTGTTTTGGAGAACAAGGAGGTAATGGCGATAGGCCGGTAGTTTGACGGGTTTGAGCGGTCGCCTTTTTTAGGGATCGGGTGTAGTACCGGAAAAGATGCGTTAAAACCGGTGCCAACTCTGGAGCACACGTCCTCAGCACAATTGGGGGGATTCCGTCAGACCCACTCGACTTGTGGATGTCAAAAGTCTTGCAAGTGTGAACTGCACTTCCGGCAGCACTCACACCGCGGGGTGGTTGGCGGCATACTCCCCCCGTCATTGAGAGTCGAGTTGGACGCAAAGAAAGAGCCTAGAAGATCGGCTTTCTCCTTTGCGGTATGGACCAGTGAGTCTTCCTCCTTGTGCAGAGATGGAAGAGATGGCTAACAGAAATTCCCCTGGACAGCCTTGGCGAGAGACCAGAATGCACGGATTCCAGAAGGAAGGCGAACTAGTTTCTCGCCAATTCTGCCTATGTGCTCTGACTTTGCCTCAGCAATGATTCTTTGAAGGACTTAGAGGCGGAATTATACTTCTTTTTTAGAGCGCTGATGTTTACATCCCGGGACGCTGATGCGTCAGCCCAGGCTTGGTAGCACTCTTGCTTATAGCATGATGCTATTTTACAGGAGCGACCAAACCATGGCTGCGATTTGCCTCCAATAGGCACCACAGAGGAAGGAATAAAAAGTTCCATACCCTGAAATACCACATCAGCGACAGAATCTGCAACAACGTTGGGATCGTCCGGCGAGAAGCAATCCCGCCCCCAAGGGTGGGATGCAAACAAAGACCGTATCCCATCCCAATCGGCTAACCTATAGTGCCAAATACGACGGCAGCCTGCAGAATGCAACTGGGATTTCAACGTGAGTGGCACCACACTCCGGACAAGAAAATGGTCCGAGGAGCCTAAAGGGGCGTCGACGGAAATCTGATATCCGTCCGGGTGAGAGGTTAGCAGAAGGTCCAACAGGGAAGGTGGATGCTCCTCCACATCTGGCATCCGCGTAGGCGAAGTAACCAGTTGTGTCAGACCATATGCCAAGGCAAAATCATGAACAGATCTCCCCGCATGATCGGTTCAACGTGAACCAAGCCATTCGGCGTGATGGACGTTGAAGTCGCCAAGGATCACGATCTCTGCGGAGGTGATCTGCTGTAGCAACGAATTTGTAGCCATTTGGACGTGGTTGAAAAGTCGGTCTGTTTTGGCATTACCGCTATGGGACCTGTAGAGGCACCCGTAGGCGCGCGGATGGTCGTCGCTGTCTACGCGTAGCCAAAGGTTGAACAGGTCCGAACCTTCAAATCTGCCGAGGCGTCGAGAACAGGTGTCCTCTCTGACGTAAATGCAAACTCCAGCCAGAGGCACAAAAGAGTGTTCCAGAGCGGAATTTTGCCCCCCCCCCCCCCCAGAATACGCGGGGCAGCCTGAGCACCCACGCTCAGAAGTGGAGAAACATGGTCGTGGATGCTCAGCGAGGGATTCTCTAGGGGTGCTGGTACCCTCCTGGGGTAGTCTGTCATCTTTTAATTCCGCTACCATGTTGATGGGGGGGGGGGATATGGGCCTCCGGCCACCTACACTCACCAGATGAAACGCGGAAGTAGAGCTTCAACATGCATACATGCAACAGCAATGCTGCCGCATGGCACTGTTAAAGTTTACTTCATTTGTTTTCTTTTTTGTCGATAATGATTAATGTTATTACTTTGATCTTCAAATGTTCCTATACAACCAAAAATCTACGATAAAATTTACTATGAGACCTAATTTACGATTTAGACGTAGGTTAATATATTTTAACCATTCCTATCGCGAAATAAAAAATATGATTATAGAGGGCGAATTAGCAAACTTTACAAAAACAAATTAATAGACTTTTCCGTCACCTTTGTTCACTATTTTTTATCAGACAGCCCAAACCGTAAGTATTCACAGCTGTTTATAAAATGCACTGTAAAATACACTATGCTGTGAAATTGTCTATGCTCGCAATCCCCCAGTGACACCACTTACTTAGAAGTATATGGACTGGGCATACCTACAAAATTAGCGTGACTACCTACAAAAATCTGGTGCATAAAATGGACGCCTTTTATAGGGTTGTAACTCTGCAATATACGCAGCTGATATCGATATTTTAACTAATATGAATTTTTTCTCATTTTATATAATTGGATTTGTTGCTTAATTTACTTTATTCCGTAGGTATTTACATAAATACAGGGCTGAATTTTCAATCGTCATATAACTAATCTGGCGAATAAATGTGACTGACTGATTTATGGCTTTTGTGTAGATAGAAATTAAATCCTTCTTTTGGGTTGAAAGTATTACTGGGATGGTGATCCCAGATCCCATATTATTAATGTAAAATAATAATGATTAGTTGAGTAAAAATGAAATAAACTGTTTTAAAAATCAATACTTATTTATTATTAATTTTTCTGCACATAATTCATCACAAATAGTAAGTTATACAAGCAAGTTGTATATCATATTTTATTTATTCATTCGGATTTTAAATGAAATATATTATCAAATTTCGAAAAATTCGAAAATCTGGCATGATCACGAAATATGATATGCAGGATAACATCCTGGATATCATATTTCATCCACCGTTTCATGATCATGATAGATTTTTATATAAACTATTATTATTATTTGTTCACTTGTGAACAAAATTATTTTTTAATATAATTTCTATAAGACAGTTTGTCACTACTTCTTCTTGCATGGTATCTGAACCTTTTTTTTGCCACAAATCCCGCAATATATTCTAATACAGCAATTAATAAGGTTTTTTAATAATTTAAATAACGACTCTAATAGAGGCATACTGAAGACTACTCCTGAAAGTTTTTGTTTTTTCTCCCCCAACTAGTAGCGACAAACATACATATACTGTGATTTTTAATAATTACAAAACTTCTTAGCAGTTTTTTTATTGGCTAAATAAATTACAAAATTATGCATCTTACATAAAGTAATAATTAAAAAATACATCCCTACCATAACACTTGAAATAAACTGTAAGACACTTATTTGACATAATAAAATATAAATGAAGAAAAACACCTACTAAGATGAAGGCACTGCACTACACAACAAAAAACTTTTAGCATTCAATAGTTTGACAGCAGATCTACCACAAAACTCAGCGCTTAACATGGCGACGCAGTCACGCATGAATGAGCTAATGACGTCACACGAAAGTGTTGTCAAAATAAGCAATTGACAAACTCTTATTGTCTCCCTTTTCTAATGAAGCCACTGCTTTGTTAAAAAGAAACAAATGTATTTTTGACAAGTGTGTGTCGATATTATAGATATTTGTATAACTATTATTTCTATAGTAGAATAAGCCGCTTCCATAGGTATTATATCTCTATGAGTGACACAGAGTACTTTTGTACATGCCCAGTGCTTTATTCTCATAAACTTCAAGCAAACAATAAACTCATTATCCCAAGCTCAAAAAAAGCTAAATATAATTGGATTGTGTAGATACATATTGTTTCAAAGTTATGTGTGTATAGACAGCAAGAGAAAAAACATTATTTATATATCAATTTAAGTAGAATTGTTATTATAATTCATAGGCGACAATCTTTGAGTACTCTTTTCTATACTCAAAGGCGACAATCGACAATGACACCACAGAATAACAAAGCGAAAGCAGTGACAACTGTGACATTACGGTTCACTCTTGATAGGGAGTTTGACACAACTTAATGATATTTTTTAGGTGATTGATGCCTTTAGGAATCCTAAATTATTCAAAATTTTAAACCTTTAATAGGGGATGAAATATTTAGTTGATATTGATTTCACGGGTTCGCATTGTTCACAAGTTCTTATTAAATCAATTATTGGCTCATTGACATCGATGTTTCGATGTTTGACATGTGGCATCATAGATGTTACGATGTTTAACATGTGGCAACATCGATGTTTTAATTTCTAACATTGACGATCTTCGAACATCCCTACCGTAAAGCCAGTTAATAATAAAAGTCAATAGTCAATATGATATGTAACTATTAAAATATAAATTCAAATATTTAGAGCGTAGTATCTGGAAAATGGATGTATAAATTATACGAAGTTGTAGTATAGTATTCCTTGGTATTGTATCTATTATACCTAGTACCTTTCTTAAAATTATTTTTCATATATGTCAAAATGGAGTTTACTAGCATAGTACTGCCTCTAACTAAGAATATGTGCCGAACATGTCTTGCTGAATCTGATTCTACGTTATTCATGAGCGTTCAAGATTTAATAGATCATGAAATATACAAAATCAAACTTATTGATATATTGATTTTTTTAAATTGTGTAGAGGTAAGCCATTTGATTTTACTATACCCACTCTTTGGGGTATCAAATAGCATAGTAGGTATGAAATAACATTAATTTGTACATAAATTATTATTATTATTTTAGAACAATGATGAAGATAACTGGCCGCAAGGGATGTGTACATCATGTGTTAATACAGCTTTACTTTCATACAATTTCAAAATTAACTGTTTAAAAACGAATTTAACGTTGTCTCAAATATCTACCGTTCAGTCTTCATCTACAACTTTGCAGCGTTCTGACGTAGATACCATTGACATAAATGTTGTTTATCAAGATCACGAATATGATACACCACTTTTTAGTAATCACACAGTTCTTGATTTTGAACCGCATGTACCTGTGAACAAAGAATTGACACCTTTGCCTCCTGTTAGTGAAATAACGTCTACTGAGCGTCCACCAAGAAAAGAAGGTGAAAAAAAATACTCATGTCCTCAGTGTTCTAAATTGTTTACAAGAATTTGTGGATTACGGTACCACATGGCAAAACACACAGATGTTCGTAGATTTTTATGTCCTAAGTGTGGTAAATGCTTTCATATGGCGAATGGGTTGAGGCAACATTTATTATCTCACAAAGAAATTCCACAATTTAAGTGTGGCTTTTGTAATAAGACATATAAATCTCGCCAGTCTTTGAAAGAACATTTCAGAGTTGCCCATTCAAGTAACCGTAAATTATTTGTTTGTGTAACATGTTCGAAGAGGTTCACTGTAAAATCTACTTTAACAATGCACTTAAAAAGCCATAATGGTGAAAAACAGCATGCTTGTCCTTATTGCCCTAAAACATATACAAGGGCATCATACTTACGAGCACATAGTTTAATTCATCTAGGTCAACAGAGGCCAAAACCATTTAAGTGCAAGTTTAAAGATTGCAGCAGAAGTTTTTCTACTAAATATTCCCTAAGTGTACATGTTGCACATACTCATTCATCCGAGAGACCCCATAAATGTGATTTGTGTTTTAAAGGATTTGCTACTTCATCTGGCTTAAAAATACACAAGGAATCTCATACAAATACGGAAGTTTGCTGCAACATCTGTAATAAAAATTTTGTCAACAGAAGAGTCTTACAAAAACACATGAAAGTTCATGATATTAATAATGTTAATGATGATATAATTTTAGAAACTGTGGTGGACTTTTTCAATGAATGATAAGATACTTGTAATACTTGCTCACTTTTTGAATGGTATTTCTACTAAAGTGTTAAAAATGTAATTTACTTTTAGTATATAACACATTCCATGTAGTTTCTATAGTAATTATTGAAAATAATGGATATTAATGGGAAATTTATGATAAAAAACATAAATTTGCTTAGACAAACTGAAAAATTATATAATGTACATAATAATTAGATTATTTTATACCAAAAATTGAGATAAAATTATTAAAAAAAAGCTTGATGATTGACCTGTCACTAAAAATCATTGTTTTTTTACTTTTTAATAATAATTGAACAATTTGCTGATTTACTGCCTTTTTCCATGTAATACTAATTCTGGCAATGCATTGTATTTCTTTATATAGTGAAACCAAATAGTCTATCGGCAGACAAACTTATTATAAGTTTTAGTCAAATATTTGCCATAAAATACATGATTTTATTACCTGTGTGTACTGTTATTTTATTAATCTGTGGTAAAGATACCACCTTTATTTAAATAATAATAAAGGTAATTTAAATATTAAAACTAAGAAACAAGCTTTCTTTTTCAGCCTATACCACACTACCTATACCACAACCACAATTACCTATTCCCGCGATTAAGCAACAGTGCCTACACTTCTGTGATCCAGTCTGAAAGGTTTTGGGAGCCTGTGAAATGACTGGCAATGAATCTGTAGCTGTTTTTTTTTTGCTAAGAATCGGTTGTAGGTGTCTTTGGCTGTGGCAGTCATCATCAGGTGGAATATAAGTTCGTTTGTCACTTTAATTTTATAAAAAAAATTATGAGTGCTGATGTGTCAATGATGCAGTGATTACCAAAATTTCCATATTAATGTAAAAATGCTTTTGGGTATACCTACTGGGGCTTTTAAATAAAATAAAGGTTTTTACACATACTCCTTAGCGACCGCATTCCTACTGCATTTATTCTACTCTCGTGCTTCTTCTGCCACACACAACTTTCACTACCATACGTTAAAGTAGGGACTAATACAGCACTGTGAATTGCCATACGTGCCTTTTTTGACACATTCTGACTTTTCACAATAGAGTGTAGAGCCCCATTTACTTTATTTCCTGCATTCACTCGTCGTTCAATATCTCCCATCCCTGCTGAATACACATCCCAAATATAC